CGGGGCACGGGGACCGCCCGAGGCAGCCACACCGTGACCCTGCGAGACCCCCTGATTACAATTATAGACGAAGCTGTGGCGCCGTGGCGAGCAGGCGGACCACGGGGCTGTCGCACATGGGCCAGGCCCAATGGCCAGGCCAGTTGTCGAGCGCGCTCTACGCTGCCAAGGTGCTCTGTTCTTCTGCTCGTGATGTCCTCCTGCTGCCCCTTCGCCTCCTGCTGATGGTGGATCGCGCTCGCGCGGGCGCGCTGCTACTGGGCCGTGTGTCGCCGCTGGTGTCGCCGTCATGGGGCTTCTCCTCTCTGTGCTCATCGTATGCGTGGGCGTGTTCGAGGCGCTGGACTGTTACTACCACTTTCGTGCTGGGCTGCTGCCGGCTGCACGGCCTGCTGCGCACGGCGCGCCCGCCTCCGGATGGCGGCAGCATCTGACGAACTTGAACGAGCGCTGGCGGAGACGGCCGAGCGCCGCCTTGACCTGCGGCGGCCCCGGCGGCCCCGGCGGCCCCGGCGGGGGTGGTGGGGGGCCCGAGCCGAGTGCCACCCCTCTCGGCGACGCGTTGAGCAAGAACGCCGCCTCCCAGCTCCAAGAGGGCCCAGGCCGCACCCCCTCCCCGCCGCGCCCCACCGACCAACTGAACGGTGCGGGACCGCCGCCCCGCTGGTTAAACAACCATGCTGAAGAAGACACCCTTGGCAATGGTCGGGGGGAGGCTTCCCCAACCGAAGAATCGCCGCGGGTGCCAGAAATAGACGCACCGACGATCGTCGGCGACGCTGGCGATGATTCGGCGCGGGCCCGGCCCGCAATTAGGACCGGGGACCAGAACTCCAAGCGGAGGCTCTCGTCGTCGCTGGACAGGCCCGTCACCATCACCAGCGGTGATGGGGGTGACGTCGCCCTCCTTGACCCTCTCGCGGACGAGCCCCGCCGGCTGTCCGAGTCGTTCCCGGAGCTCGAGGACTTGCCCCCGCCGCCGAAGCAGCTGCTCAGGGTGGAGGTGGACGAGCCACGGAGACTGTCTGAGATCGACGCGGACGTGCCTTCACCCCTCCCCGACCCGGACGCCGATCTGCCTCGGCGTCTGTCCCAGCCCGGGGAAGCGCCTCTTCTCCCTCCAGCAGGGCCTACTCCGGCGCACACGGCATCACCGCTTCCAGCTCCTGCCCCAGCATCTGCTCGACCTCCCGTCCCACACCCGCCGTCCCGCAGGCCGAGGACGAGCTCCGGTCGCACGCTCTCGCCGGCGGACGATGAGGACCGTCTTCGACGCATCTCCGACTTCACCGACTCGGAGCCGTCGTCTCCCACCAGGAAGGGCAGCAACGTCGACATCAGCTGGCCCATTTTCCACCCGGCGCACGCGCACCCGGCGCACAAGTCAACCCTCTATCGTCTCGAAGACGTCATGTCCGTGGACGTGGAGGACGATGTGTTCCTGCCCAACCCACCAAAGAACCCTCCTGGAGGCAACATTATTCCCGTCCACCACAACCTGCTGGAGGAGTCGCAGAGGATGGCGCAAGCGGAACCAAAAGCGACGGAGGGCAGAAATATCAACCAACAAAAATCTGAACAGAGCAAAGAATCCACTGCGCCCAATAGCGAACAGTATAAAGAGTTGACCGACTTCCTGAAATTCCTCGACGATCACATACAGGAGGACGACTGTATGAATCTGTGGCAATCAATCCAGCATTCGGATTGCAGAAAGCCCCAGATCGACAGTCGGGAGCCACCGGCGATCGAAAATCCTTCCAAACAGTATCTCGAACTTCAGGAATTCCTCAAGCTCAACTACGGTGCCGGTGAAGGGCCAGCGGGGCCTGTTCAGGGTGAAGGCCCTGGCGAGCCCCTCGACGAGTCGGACGCCGCCGACATACAGAAGCTCGTGGCGCCGGTGCTCAAGTCGGCGCCGACGGACAGAGAGTACATGGACCTGCTCAACTTCTGGTTCCTCTTGAGGGCGCAGGAGGAAAGCCCCGACGAGCCACTGCTCGAGGAGTACTTCACGTTGAAGAGACAAGACGAGTTCAAGGTGGTCGACGATCCTTCAGCGGCTCCCGTCCCAGCCAATAAATTCCAAGAGTACGAGGACCTTCAGCGCCTGCTCCGCGCGCTTCCGCCTCCCCCGGGCCCCGCGACCGACCCGCATGCGGCCGCTCCGGCACCGGAGCGGTCCGGGGCCGCGGCCCGCCCCAGCCTCCTGCGGCCGCCGGGGGACGACGAGCCGTCCTCAGAGTGCGCCGACCTGCCCCCCAAGTCCCCGCTGCACACCGAGCTGGTGACCGTCTCCGAGGAGCCCCAGCACCTGCAGAGGCCGGCGCGGTCCCACTCGTTCGAGGAGGCCCCCCTGAGCGACCTCACCGAGAACCTCATCAAGGCGGCGCTCGAGGCCTCGGCCGGGCGTGACGACGAGGGGGAGGACGCCGAGGTGGCCGCCATCACGGGCCGTTCCGAGCAGGGCCTCGAGCAGGACCCCGTCAAGGACCCCCGGGGGGAGGCCGGCGCCAACGGCCACGGCCCCGCGCAGAGACCTGAACACGCTTCGGTCGCACCCGCAGAGGCAAAGTCCGGGGACACGGCGGCCCCGGGTACCTCCGGCACCTCCCAGCCGGTACATCACGCATCGTCCTCGTCGCAATCCGACCAGCAGCCTGAGGCCTTTTGGGTAAGGATCAGTTGCATGGATCACCGAGCAAGGACATCCAAGGGACAGCATGATCCTGTGCCTGGCCTGCTGCCTCGCGGACTCTACGTAGATGCCGTCTCGTAGTGCAAACGTAAGATTCCATTGCATGCGCTCCTGAAACCTTCAGTTAGTTTGTACTCTCAAAAGGAATCAGTTTATAGTGGTTGTTTTTCCACATAAGCTAATTGTTTGATCTCTCTAGCTATGTAAGTCTACTGCATGCACTTCCTAAATTGACACTAGTTGTATATTTTGTAGTCAATTATTGCTTTCCATTATTAGCTTGTTTCGACCAACTTCTTCTTTCTCTGCGCTTGGACGAGTAGCCTTTCAACCGCGTCTACATACTCACAGTTATACTTTGAGATCGATGTCCAATAAACCATACAGTGAACAATCCACATTGTGCTCGTTATGTACTGTCCACCCATCACACCGCCCTTATACACACAGTACTCCTGGCTCCTGCACAACAAGTACACACCCACCATGCCAACATGAAAGCCTTCACAATGTGGCCACTTTTCCACTCCCTTTTCACGATGCGAAAAACAGAAAATGAAAACCTTTAGAACGTCTGCCGTCCGTCCACACATGAAGCGTGCGCTATTATTGTAGTCAGCAGCCAAATTGATAAACAGCGTCTGCAGAAGCTGCTCCGCTGTTGCCAGGGGTGTTCTAGTGGGGCTCGCTGAGGCGGGGCGGGGCGGGAAGGGGGGGCCGGCGGGAACCAGAGAGCCCAGAGGGTCGGGGGGAGGCGGGAGCGAGAGGCCGTGGTCGTAAAGCTAGACAACTTACAGCAGCTTTGTTAGTAGCGGACGCGCCTTTTAGTGGGGGGAGGGAGAAAGGGGCGTGTTTTTTTGAATTGCGGTACAGATTTCTCGAGCATCTGATGATAAAATAGATGGAGACGTGTACTGCTTGTGTGCAGCGTCAGACATCGATTCGAAAAAATCGTGGAAATTCTGCGTAGGGGTGGAGGTGAGTGTTGCCAGGGGCCACAATGTTGTGGAACGGTGCCATTGTCTGTCGGCTGGGCACGCCCGCCTGCCCCGCCCCCTTTACCATCACGCCGACGCGATCGCAGAGTTCAACAGACGGGACGAAATTGTGGCGGGGTTAACGGAACATTAATCAACCGCACCTCTAACGTTATAATTGTATTAAAAACACAATCAAAGATGGGAAAGGCATAGACTGATTTTGTACTATGTCGTTTTCATTTACGCTTTGCCTTTTTCTGGGTGGTTTTGTTTGATCTTTTTCTGTTGGTTGTTTTTTTTCTTGCCTTGCGGCTCAAAACGGGGTCCCCCAAAAAGTGGTTGCCGTCGTGCGTGCGTCTGTCTAGCGGACGCATTGATGGGGCTCGTGTCAGTCATGAGACATCGCCCCCCGCGGCGCATGGGCGCGATCGCCTGCCGACATCTTGAGGGTGCCCGGCGCCTCGCTCCGCTACGGCACCGCGATGGCTGGCGCCGCTGACGCGGTCCTGGCGCCGGCCTGGCCTGGGGGCGCGCAGGTGCGGTGGCACCGCCTCTCTCTGCTGGTCGTTGCCCTCTACGATGCTGCTGCACCCCCACGTGTGCACCACCGCGCGCCAGCTGAAACAGAAAATAAAAATAATA